ACCTACCAAGACATGACCGTCAACCTAAACTGATATGCCGGACAAGGAGAGCATTAATCAGAGAAGCACCTAAGTGGCCCATGGTAACTATGGAGGAGCTGCAGAAATCCACAGCTCAAGTGGGAGCATCACAAATCACAAATCTGGCCTTTATGGAAGAGTGGCAAGAAGAAAGCCACTGTTAAAAGAAAGCCATAGGACATCTCGTTTGCAGTTTGCAAGAAGCCATGTGGGGGACACAGCAAACATTTGGAAGAAAGTTCTCTGGTCAGACAAGACTAAAATTGAACATTTTGGCCTAAAAGCAAAACACTATGTGTGGCGGAAAACTAACGCTGCACATCACCCTGAACACACCATCCCCACCGTGAAACATGGTGGTGACAGCATCATGTTGTGGGGATGCTTTTCTTCAGAAGGGACAGGGAAAGTAGTCAGAGTTGATGGGAAGATGGATGGAGCCAAATACAGGGCAATCTTAAAAGAAAACCTGTTAGAGTCTGCAAAAGACTTGAGACAGAGGCAGAGGTTCACCTTCTAGCAGGACAATGACGCAAAACATACAGCCAGAATGGAATGGAATGGTTTAGATCAAAGCATATTCATGTAATAGAATGGCCCAGTCAAAGTCCAGACCTAAATCCAATTGAGAATCTGTGGCAAGACTTGAAATTGCTGTTCACAGACGCTCTTCATCCAATCTGACATAGCTTGAGCTATTTTGCAAAGAAGAATGGGCAAACATTTCAGTCTGCAGATGTGCAAAGCTGGTAGAGACATCCCCAAAAAGACTTACAGCTGTAGTTGCAGTGAAAGGTGGTTCTACAAAGTATTGACTCGGGGGCTGAGTACAAATGCACGCCACACTTTTCACATATTTATTTGTAAACAATGCTGAAAAACCATTTATCATTTTCCTTCCACTTCACAATTATGTTCCACTGTGTGTTGGTCTATCACATAAAATCCCAAAAAAATACACTTACTTTTTTGGTTGTAACTTGACAAAATGTGGAAAATTTCAAGAGGTATGAATACTTTTTCAAGGCACTGTATATAACACTGATATCTGTACACTGATATGTGTACACTGACTGCCATTCCCTAAATATAACACTGATGTCTGTACACTACGTGCTATTTCCTATATAAAAACACTGAGTATCACTCAGTGTACAGATGTCAGTGATATATACTGAATAGGGAAAGGCACTCAGTGTACAAATATTAATGTTTATATATATAGGGAATAACACTCAGTGTACACATATCAGTGTTAAACAACACTGTTATCGGTACACTAACTGCTATTCCCTATATATAACGCCAGGGGCGGACTGACAACTCTCATGGGGCCCCCGGGCAATAGGGGATCATGGGGCCCCTGTGTCCTTGCCCAAACTCAAAAAAGCCTATGAAAAAGGTACCAGGGGCATCTCATGGGGCCCCCTACTGACCCTGGGCCCTCGGGCAGTGCCCGAGTTTCCAAATGGTCAGTCCGCCCCTGTATAACACTGATTTCCATATAATGCATGCTATTCCCTATATAAAATACTGATATCTGAACACTGAATTGTACTCAGTGTACAGATGTCAGTGATATACAGTATATAAGGAAATAGGTAAAGGCACTCAGTGTACAGATAGTAGTGTTGTATATAGGGTATAACACTACGTGTACAGATGTCTGTGTTATATAACACTGATATCTTTACACTTAGTGTTATTTCCTAAATATAACACTGACATCTGTATATTGAGTGCCACTCAGTGTATATCGAATTAGTGTATCAGTGTATATAGAAATCAGGGCTATTAAATATACGGTCGGGATAAGGAATGGCACTCAGTGTACAGACATCAGTGTTACATATAGGGAATATATAGAGAATAACAGTCAGTCAGTTACAGTTGTGGCCAAAATTATTCAACCCCCAAATGCTGTAAAGGGGTTTAGGGACTATAGTGTACATTTGGAATTGTATTCAGAATCAAATCCTACAAGGACGTTGTAACTACCCAAATGCAACTAAAATGACATCAATTGTTTATGTAATACAGTAGTAAATGGTTCTTATGTGGTTTCTTCATTGCCACAATTATTCAACCCCTTAAAGACTACCACTCTGAAGAACAGAGGTTCATACAGGTGCTTTCCATCAGGTATTGAAAACACCTGTGGATGTCACCCGAGCAGCAATCAAGCATAATAAGCACCAATTAGGCAGCTTTAAAATGACTGTGATACTCAGCTCCTTCTAGACATTTACTGGTGTGGTTACAAACATGGTGAAGGCAAGAGAATGGTCCAGGAAGACAAGAGAAGAGGTGATTTCTCTTCACAGGAAGGGCAATGGCTATAAGAAGATTGCAAAGATGTTAAACATACCAAGAGACACCTTAGGAAGCATCATTCGCAAATTCAAGGCAAAGGGCACTGTTGAAACGCTACCTGGTCGTGGCAGAAAGAAGATGCTGACTTCGACTGCTGTGCGCTACCTGAAGCGTAGAGTGGAGAGAAGTCCCCGTGTGACTGCTGAGGAACTGAGAAAAGATTTGTCAGATGTGGGTACACAGAAGTTTCAGCCCAGACAATAAGACGCACACTGCGTAATGAAGGCCTCCGTGCCAGAACTCCCAGGCGTACCCCCTTGCTGTCTCCAAAGAATAAGAAGAGTCGACTGCAGTATGCCAAAAGCCATGTGGACAAACCACAAAAGTTGTGGGATAGTGTTCTGTGGACTGATGAAACAAAATTAGAACTGTTTGGGCCCATGGATCAACGCTATGTTTGGAGGAGGAAGAACAAGGCCTATGATGAAAAGAACACCTTGCCTACTGTGAAGCATGGTGGAGGGTCAATCATGCTTTGGGGCTGTTTTGCTTCTGCAGGTACAGGGAAGCTTCAGCGTGTGCAAGGTACCATGAATTCTCTTCAGTACCAGGAGATATTGGATGGAAACGTGATGCAGTCCGTCACACACCTGAGGCTTGGGAGACGTTGGACCTTTCAACAGGACAATGATCCCAAGCATACCTCCAAGTCCACTAGAGCATGGTTGCAGAGGAAAGGCTGGAACATTTTGGAGTGGCCATCGCAGTCACCAGACTTAAATCCGATTGAGAACCTCTGGTGGGACTTAAAGAAAGCAGTTGCAGTGCGCAAGCCTAAGAATGTGACTGAACTGGAGGCCTTTGCCCATGAAGAATGGGCGAAGATACCCGTAGATCGCTGCAAGACACTTGTGTCAAGCTATGCTTCACGTTTAAAAGCTGTTATAACTGTAAAAGGATGCTGTACTAAGTACTAAGATTGAATGTCACTTGGGGGTTGAATAAAACTGATAATGCTGTGAGCACAGAAAAGACATTTGTGGTTATTTCATTATAACTGTTATGTTATATTTGTCTGACCTACAAGTGCCTCTTTAATGTAAATGTAAGCAAGATGACTGAATGATCAAAAGCAATGTCAAACTGGCCAAAACACTCAATTTCAGTGGGGTTGAATAATTTTGGCCACAACTGTATATAACACAGATATCTGTACACTGACTGCTACACAACCCAGTACCTGGTGAATATGAGCAAAGTATAATGTCCCTGTATGTGTGTAGTGTTCCTGTCATCCGACAGTGGGGGGAAAAAATCCTCTCACCAGATCCTGTGACTAAGGCCCAAATGACAGGCTTCTCTGGTCACCTCACGATGAGCACTTCACTCTGTCTGTCAGGAATGGACTTGCCAGTAATGGTGGGACTCACCTGCCTTGTGGGCTGCAGTACCAGGGCTGGCCAGCGGGTGCTACCAGCAATCAGAGACTCAACCCTGCAGCCAGCCAAACACCTGAAGTTGATCATGCAGGTGTATTTAAGGGATGGCCAGACCTGCAGTCTCTGCCTTGGTGTGTGGTTTTCCTGGGCCCTGTATCTTGTTCCTGCATCCCTGTCCCTGTCTGATTCGTTGCTGACCCTGCCTGATCCGGACCTCTGCTGACTTCTCCTGTTTTATCCCTGGCTTGTGACCCCGACCATTCTCTGCCTGACCCCCTGTACCTACCTGCCGGATTGTTATTGACCCGGCCTGCCTGACAACGCTTGCATTGTATGTACTGTTATCTGTGGGTGGTTTGGTTTGGTTCGTTTGCACTGTGTTATGTTTTAGTATTGCACTGCGTTTATGTTTGTATTGTTAGTCTTTAATAAATTATATTGTTTATAACTTATCTGAAGCCTGCGTTTCCCCTGCGTCAGTCACATACCTCTGGTCACACCCCGGAGCCCTGACATTACACCAAGGCCAATCCTGACCAGAAGTGGCTGCACAGGGAAGCCATCTTGGCTTGTTGCTGGGAAGGATGGATCTGGATGAGGTTGTGTATTTATCTCTGCTAGTGTTTGATGACAGAGAGTATGCTTATCAGACTCTGAAGGAGTATCCCAGGGATCAACTACTAGAGTGTATACGGATCGCTCATGTTCTAGTAGATCAGGGCACAGAATTCTCTGAGGTGCAGCCATTGATTCAGGTTTGTGCTGAGTTGGTTTCATCTGGTACCCCCGAATGCAGGGATGAATTTTTGCCGCCATTTAGTGCCGACCAGGTAGAGTCCCTGGTATGGTTATTAGAGGATGATGTGGATTACTTTCTGGAGCGTTATTCTGCATGTTCACCACAGGTACTAAGAGATTGTATAAACGCAGTGCAGTCTTTGGTCAGACAGGCTTTGTGTAAACTGAGCTTTGTTCAACCCATACTGCAGACATGGACAGACTTGTTGCACCCAGCCTCAGTCAGCTTACAACATCATTCCTCCACTCAAGGCATTCTTCCTACATCCCCGACAGCACCCCCAGTGACTGCCCAGTATACTCTAACTACAACATACCAGTCCTCTGCTCCCACTCGCTGCACCTATCCTTTCTTTAACCCTGTAAAGAAGTCCTCTGTAGCAACTGCTCCCTCCTCTGTTCCATCTTCCAGCTCTTCTCTGTCCTCAGCTGCTCCATTCGTTTGCAGACCTGCGTTTACTTGCAGTGCCCCAGTAGTTAAAACCAGAAAAAAGCGGAAATTCTTTCCACCAAGTACCATCCTGCCAGTATCCAAACCGGTGAGCCTGCCGTCTGAGAACCTGCCTCCCGTGGTTCAGCCTGGTGCCTCGGCACCCGCACTTCAGCCTGATGTCTGTACCCAGCCTGATGTCTGTACCCAGCCTGATGAACTGATCCAGCCTGATGATCCTATCACGCCTGATGACCCAGTGCCCGCTGTCGAGCCAGACAATTCGGTACCTGATGACCCGGTGCCCACTGTCATGCCTGGTGACCCGATGCCCGCTGTTGAGCCAGACGATCCAATGCCTGATGACCCAGTGCCCGCGGTCATACCTGGTGACCCGAAGCCCGCTGTCGAGCCAGACGATCCAATGCCTGATGACCCAGTGCCCGCTGTCATGCCTGGTGACCCGATGCCCGCTGTCGAGCCAGACGATCCAGCGCCAGATGACCCGGTGCCCGCTGTCGATCCAGGCGATCTGGTACCTGATGATCCAGTGCCTGCTGTCATGCCTGGTGACCCGATGCCCGCTGTCGAGCCAGACAATCCAGCGCCAGATGACCCGGTGCCCGCTGTCGTGCCAATTGACTCAGAGTCCACTGTTGTGCCTGGTGACTCGGTGCCCACTGCCTTGCCAGATGACGCGGTGCCCGCTGTCGAGCCAAATGACCTGATGCCTGGTGACCCGATGCCCGCTGTCGAGCCAGACGATCCAATGTCTGACCCAGTGCCCGCGGTCATGCCTGGTGACTCGGAGCCCACTGTCATACCTGGTGACCCGATGCCCGCTGTCGAGCCAGACAATCTAATGCCTGATGACCCAGTGCCCGCTGTCATGCCTGGTGACCCGATGCCCGCTGTCGAGCCAGACGATCCAATGCCTGATGACCCAGTGCTCACGGTCATGCCTGGTGACCCGATGCCCGCTGTTGAGCCAGACGATCCAGCGCCAGATGACCCGGTGCCTGCTGTCGAGCCAGATGATCCGGTACCTGATGACCCGGTGCCCGCTGTCGTGCCAATTGACTCAGAGCCCACTGTCGTGCCTGGTGACTCGGTGCCCACTGCCTTGCCAGACGATCCAATGTCTCACCCAGTGTGCCCGCGGTCATGCCAGTTGACTCGGAGCCCACTGTCGTGCCTGGTGACTCGGTGCCCACTGCCTTGCCAGATGACGCGGTGCCCACTGGCGAGCCAAATGACCTGATGCCTGGTGACCCGATGCCCGTTTTCGTGCCTGATGACCCGGTGCCCGCCGCTCCGCCTGGGGGCCCGGTGTCTGCTGCTCCTCCTGGGGGCCCGGTGCCTGCCGCCCCGCCTGGGGGCCCGATGCCCATCGCTCCGCCTGGGGGCCCGATGCCCGTCGCCCCGCCTGGGGGCCCGATGCCCGTCACCCCGCCTGGGGGCCCGGTGCCCGCCGCTCCGCCTGGGGGCCCGGTGCCCGCCGCTCCGCCTGGGGGCCCGGTGCCCGCCGCTCCGCCTGGGGGCCCGGTGCCCGTCGCTCCGCCTGGTGGCCCGGTGCCCGCCGCTCCGCCTGGTGGCCCGATGCCCGTCGCTCCGCCTGGTGGCCCGGTGCCCGCCGCTCCGCCTGGTGGCCCGGCGCCCGCCGCTTCGCCTGGTGGCCCGGCGCCTGCTGCTCCGCCTGGTGATCCGGTGTCCAGCTCAATGTGCCTCTGCCCGGAGTCCAGCTCGATGTGCCTCTGCCCGGAGTCCTGCCCGGAGTCCTGCCCGATGTGCCGCTGCCCGGAGTCCTGCCCGATGTGCCGCTGCCCGGAGTCCTGCCCGATGTGCTGCTGCCCGGAGTCCTGCCCGATGTGCCGCTGCCCGGAGTCCTGCCCGGTGTGCCTCTGCCCGGTGTGCCGCTGCCCGGTGTGCCGCTGCTCGGAGTCCTGCCCGATGTGCCAGTGTTGATATCCCGCCAGTTACCAGACCCGGGCGGTGGAACATTTTGCCCAGCTAGGACTGTTTGGAGCGTCCTGAGGCTGCTCCTTGAGGGGGGGGGGGGTACTGTCAGGAATGGACTTGCCAGTAATGGTGGGACTCACCTGCCTTGTGGGCTGCAGTACCAGGGCTGGCCAGCGGATGCTCCCAGCAATCAGAGACTCAACCCTGCAGCCAGCCAAACACCTGGAGTTGATCATGCAGGTGTATTTAAGGGATTGCCAGACCTGCAGTCTCTGCCTTGGTGTGTGTTTTTCCTGGGCCCTGTATCTTGTTCCTGCATCCCTGTCCCTGTCCCTGTCAGATTCGTTGCTGACCCTGCCTGATCCGGACCTCTGCTGACTTTCTCCTGTTTTTATCCCTGGCTTGTGACCCCGACCATTCTCTGCCTGACCCCCTGTACCTACCTGCCCGATTGTTATTGACCCAGCCTGCCTGACGACGCTTGCATTGCATGTACTGTTATCTGTGGGTGGTTTGGTTTGGTTCGTTTGCACTGTGTTTATGTTTTTAGTATTGCACTGCGTTTATGTTTGTATTGTTAGTCTTTAATAAATTATATTGTTTATAACTTATCTGAAGCCTGCGTTTCCCTGCGTCAGTCACATACCTCTGGTCACACCCCGGAGCCCTGACACTGTCGGTGTAGGCACTGTATTGTAGGTCCACATCTCTCAGTTTGGATGTTTCTTTGACTGATGCAGATAACTAAGCATGCAGTGCTCTGACCATAAGCACTTGTTTGCCAGGTCCAGACTCTCTCCTGCCACATGCAGTCTGCCTCCCTCAGGAAAAAACAAGATGGACCCCTTCACTCTGCTCTCACTAAGCATGATGGCTTTTGTAGTTCTATTTCTTTATCAGCCTATCAGGCTGTTTCTGTTCAAGACTGCATGTTCCACAATGCTTTGCAGCTGCACCTCCTGCTTGAGAAAGTCCCTGTCATTGGCTCCTTTAATGGCTCTTCTGATTGGTTCTCTCTCTATTACAGTCTAAGAGGGGAAGGGGGGGCTTAAATCCCTCACTGCCTTGTCTGTGTCCAGTCCAAGTGTCATTATATGATTCAACATATTGCGCTCTTACTATACACATCTGGTGAGTGCGCATTTTTATCAAATCCCCTGCACAGATTAAAGTCACATGAATTAAAGTCACATGGAATTCTTTGATACCACCTGTGCAACAGGATCTGTATGTGGCACAATTTTCTGACTGGTATTTGTCAGACCCTCACCATTATATGAACACTTTCTTTGTCTGTTTTTTGACTTTCACAGCTGCACCTATATATTTATTTGCACTCATTGTAGCAATTCGCTCCCATGTTATCACTTGTGTTTAATAATTTAATATTTTTATTAGTGCACTTTTATATATTAATTCCTTCAGTGCTGCACCAATTTTTGTGTATGTTTCTACAAATACTGTATCTGCTGACTTTTACAAAAGGAGACTCGCCAGCTAGGAATCCAGCACCTTCCTCACTCAAATCGGTTCTTTACCAGTCCTCGGGTCCCTGGCGCCAGCATATTTGCTGTGGGCAACCGGCTGTGATTCCTTGTGGCTTCACAGCCAGCTTCCCACTGCACATGCCTAAGCCATACTGCACTTTGCGAATGGTCCTGCAGCCTTCTGAAATCTGTGGTCCTGCAGCCTTCTGAAATCTGTGATGTGTCCCAAAAGGTTGCAGGTGGGGTTGGGGGGGAGTAGGAGAACTTCCGATTTATCCGCCACAGCTATCCAACTGGAAGTGGGAGTGGGTATCTGTCAAAACCAGGCCCCCTGCAGGATTATTTGAACTCTCAGTGACACAGTCAGCACCATGCATCTCCTTATATGACCCAAAAAACTCAGCTCATTCTCCAGATCTGCTATGTATATGGGAAAATTGTAGTTGTTTTTCAACATGGCACACATGTGCAGACAGAGGCTGTAGTAGGTTGTCATTTTGCCAAATATCTCGAGCATAGTAGTCAACTAGTGTCTTTCTTAGCCAGAAGCCAGAAAAAAAAATGCATATTCTTTTATGAATCTATGATTTTTGCAGGCGGGGAAAACTACTTCAATGCCATCTCAAGCAAACAGCAGCAGCCAGAGCAGCACCATGGCGAGATTCAACCCCTGTGCAAATCAATATTTCCATGTAACTGCTCATGTAGGCCATATGAATTTTTAATTAGAGAATCAGTCTGATACTGAAAAGTTTCCACTGTGCTTTTTCTTTACAAAACCCATAATGCTCTGCCGAACCTGTGTCTTAGGTACACTTTGTATTAAATATGTATTTGTAAAATCTACCTATTCATAGTAGTACTGATTCTTCTGCAGATGATAAGAGAAGCATAAAATACTCATGCCCTGTCATGTTTTTGCTTTTCATAGAAATCCCACACAGAATTTAACCACATAGCTATCAAAGATAAGAAAATAAAGACATTGTAGTATGCAGATTATATGAACTTTGCGCTATAATTAAACCTTTTCTGGTCTTTAAGTTTCAGTATAGCTCATGTGGCTTAATATACTATATATTAAACCTCAATGTTCCGGTAAGCAAGTAGCAAAGTATTACCAAAATCAATGTTATATTTACAATTCAACAGCCAACATTTCATTTTTACAACATTTCGCCCATTACAGCATTTTGTCACAAACAAAAATATACAATAATATTGCTACTCAAGAAAATAATTGATGGATAATCATGACTTAGAGATGAGCGAATCGTAACCAGGCGAACCGGAATTCGATACGAATTCCAGGAAAAATTTGATTTGCGTCAAATCCGCTATATTTGCCTACTTCGGGTGCGCGAATCGGATTTTTCTTCCCGATCAGCCGGCAAAAGTGTTCCCTGCAGTACAAGCTCCGCTATTTCTGACAGTTCTCTGACAGAAGGGAACACATGTACAGGCGGTTGAAACATTGTATCTATTTGTTTTCATTTAGGATACAGATTTTTTTTATTCGGAAACAGATGTTTCAACCGCTGTACATGTGAAGGAGCTGTCAGAGAACTGTCAGAAATAGAGGAACTTCTGCAGATACACTGTTTTGCCGGTTTCGAATTCTTATTTCACATCCTACTTTTCTTCTTCTTCTTTCTTCATCCTCAATTCCTCATTCCTCAGAAGAATAAGAAGAGGATGGTGGATTGAAGAAGAAGAAGAAGTAGGATGAAAATAAGAATAATTCCAAGCCGGCAAAAATGTGTATCTGCAGAGTCTCCTCTTAAGTGTATCTGCAGAAATAGAGGAGCTCTTGCTAGATACTCTTATCTTGTTTCTCCGGCCTTGGGAATTATTCTTATTTTCATCCTACTTCTTCTTCTTCTTCTTCTTGCCAGTCCTCTTTCTCCTCATCCTCATCCTTTTCTTCTTCTTCTGAGGATGAGGATGAAGAAGAAGAAGAAGATAGGATGAAAATAAGAATAATTCCAAGCCGGCAAAAATAGTGTATCTGCAGAGCTCCTCTATTCTGCAGATACACTTAGAGGAGCTCTGCAGATACACTTTTTTCCCGGCTTGGAATTATTCTTATTTTCACTCCTACTTTTCTTCTTCTTTCCTCAGTCCTTCATCCTCATCTCAGAAGAAGAAGAAGAGGATGAGGATGAAGAAGAAGAAGAATGAAGTAGGATGAAAATAAGAATTTATTCCAAGCCGGCAAAAAGTGTAATCTGCAGA